GTCCTCATATGTGGGATCCGAACCGGGGCCCTCTGGCATCACAAGCCAGCTCATAACCAACGCACCACTTGGCTGGCCCTGTTTGCTAGTTTTTGAACGTGCAAATGTTTGTATACTTTGTGTCTGGCCTTTTCACTCATTGTGAGGTTTATCTGTAGTGTTGAATGTAGCTTTGATTCATTTACTTTCATTTTCTGTTGTATTTCTTGACTTTTTTGTATATTAGTCTTGCTAAATTTGTGTATTAATTTTATAATACATCTATAGAGTTCCAGATATTCTGTTTATACTTTCCATTAATAATGACACTTGGTTCTTCTTTGCGAGTTTTAACATTTTTTTTTCTTGCCATAAAAGTATTAGCTAGGACCATGTTGAAAAGAAACTATAGAATGAATGTTTTTGTCTTGTTCTCCTTATCTAATGAAAGCTTTAGCATTTCTTCAATGAGTATGATTCTAGATTTGATATTTGGGTTGTTTCCACCTTTTGGCTGTTGTGAATAATGCTGCTAGGAACATGGGTGTGCAAATATCTGTTGGAATCCTGGCTTTCTCTTCTTTTGGGTAGATACCCAGAAGTGGAGTGCTGGATCATATATAGTAATTGTGTATTTAATTTTTTGAGGAACCACCATACCATTAACCACAGCTGCTGCAGTATTTTACATTTCTACTTCAGTGCACAGGAGTTCTGATTTCTCTACGTACGCACCAACGCTTGTTATTTTCAGGTTTTTTTTTTTTCGATAACAGTGATCCAAATGGATTTGAGCTATTGCTTTTTACCTACTGTGGCTGATCTCTCGTTTTCAAACTCCATTTAAACTTAGGCTTGTCCTTCTCTATTTGTCTCTTACCTCCCGTTTTGAATGTTCCATCTTTTTGCCTCCCTGTGCTTCATTCTGGATTTTTCCTGCAGACTGAGTTTTCTGTTTAATTCTCTCTTCATCTATGTCCAGTGTGCTTTTAAAGCTCATCAGTTGAGTACTTAATTTTGGATATTGTGTTATTTGGTACTTTTAAAAATGTATGTCACTTTTCAAGTTGTCATTTCTCTCCCTCAAATCTAGTCATGTGTTTTATACATAGTGAGAATTATTTTAACATCTTTTTCTGTTCTCATAAGCATAGTTCATGTGCATCTTTGTTTCTGCTAGTTTTTATTTATAATTGTCCTATGTGCCTGGTTATCTTTGGTTGTTTGGAACATTGTATTTGAAAATCGTTTATAAAAGTAAATTGAGGGCTAGGCCAGACTAGCATGATGATGTTCTCTCCATCCAGAAATGATTTGTGTTTTTATCCGACGGGGGCTTTTGGGCCCACCAACCTAAGCTCACTTCCATCTGATGTCAGGGACTGATATTTTTCTGAGCCACCCAGATTCTTGGAAACTGGTCTGCGGACCATCAGAAGACTTTTATTTCCTGTTCATGCTCCTAAAGTATAACCATTTGGATTTCCAGGCCTAGTTGAGGGGGTCATCGGGCCAGGCCGCCAGTCTTTGAGGGCTTCGGAATGCAAGCTTTGTTCTCTTAGACCCAAGTGATTATCAAAAGTAATTCTCATTGTCTTGGTTGCCCCTTCCCAGTGTATAGATGGCCCAGGGAAAAAGCGGACCGTTTGTCGTAGGCTTGTCTCTGTGAATTTTAATTTTCTCATGTTTTGTAACCTGGCAATTCTTCTGTGCCTTCTTAGTTCTCTGATGTTTCCAAGCGGATATTCTTTTATAGGACAGCATTTTTATTTGCTTTCAGCTTGAGGGTTAGTCTGAGTTACTTAGTCAGCCATTATTATTACCTCCTTTTAAAAACGTCTTTTTAAAGATGTTGGATAAAGGAACTGTGTTGGACCTTGAGAACTCATCTATTCCAGAGGAATTCATTACTGGTCAGTAAAGCGGGTTTATTGATCACTTAACATGTATGCAGCATTGTGCTACATATTATGAACATTTTGAAAGCCTATAAGGCATAGTATTTGTTATATTCAAGGAGTTTAGCTGGGTAAACAAGCATACACTCAGAAAATTAAGTAGAATATGGGAGGAGGTGCTCTAGGGTAATGCAGAGTTAATGGCTTAGTGGAAACTAAAGGTTGAAGTGCTGGGTGTGAGCCTGAGCTCCTTTCTGCCTCTGCCCTCTTTCCCAGGCCATCTCCCCATGGTGGTCACGTGCCTCCAGCCCCGCTGTCACTCCTTTACTGTGACAGCTCCTGAGATGCTCCCCCACTGTCTTCAAGACATGTCAGGGCCTTCAGGAGCTGCTTCCCCTGTGACTTCCCAGCCCCCTCTGCTCCAGCCTCCTCCATCCCTGGCAGCTGTCTTACCCCTCCCACTTTTGCATGTGGTCTTCCTTGCTTGGAGATCTTCTCTTCCTTTGGTGTGAGGTGAGGTTTTTAAAACTCTTGAATCATGCCGTGTAATCCTTTCTGGAAAGTCTCCACTTCCAGCCCAGGCCCTTGTCCTCAAGAATCAGAGGCTTCCGTTGGGACTACCGATTAGGACCTATTGCCCCTGGTAATGGCAGTGATAGTGATCTGATAATAGCCAACATGTGTGTAGTCTAGCCCTTACGATGCACCAAGCAGTCTCAAGCACTTCACCTGTACATGACGATTTAAGAGGTAGTTGTTACTGTTTTGCCCATTTTACAGGTGAGGAAACTGAGGCACAGAGAGGCTTCACAGTTAATAATTAGAGTGGTCTTCTGGGAAATGACTTCATTTATCCCCTTCTTTGGTAGATGGAAACAGAAGAGAAGGGCCTGAGCTGTGAAGACAAACATTCATGGGTGACGATTCCCTTACCTGCCCACTGGGAGTGTGACTAAGAGTGGACCAGACAACTCTGTCCCAATCCCTCTGCTTCCTTCCAGAACCCACTTGTTTATTCTGCTGTGAAGCTGCCTGGGATTGTGTTCTGTCCTCTGTCAACCTCGCCTTCTGAGAGAGTCTCTGGACTCCTCAGTTTATCTGGGCAAGACTTTGTGAAATTTTAACTGTCTAGGCCTGTTCTGGTCAGACCTACCAAGTAAACCTCTATCCATCCTGGAAAACCTTAAAAAAATAAACTTAAAAATTTTAGAACAGTTTTAGATTTACAGAAAAATTGGGACGATAGTCAAGTCCCCATGTACCCCACACCCAGACTCCCTGTTATTGACTTCTAACATAACATGGTCTATTTGTTACAATAAATGAACCAATATTGATACATTATTATTAACTAAGTTCATAGTCTATGTAGGCTTCCTGCCTTTTATCTGTTCCAGGTTCACATCTGGGATACCACATTTCGTTTAGTTGTCTTGTCTCCCTAGTCTCCTTGGCTGTGACAATTTCCGACGTCCCTTGTTTTTCTAGCTTTGACAGTTTTAAAGAGTACTGGTCAGGCATTTTGTAGGATGCCCCCTACTGGAATTTTGTGTTTCTTATTATTAGACTGGACTTTGACTGGTTTTGAGGAGGACAATCCCAGATAGAAAGTGCCATTTTAATCATATCACATCCAGCATACATACTGTCAACATGATTTATGACTGACTGGTGATGTTGACTTTGATCAGTCATGTTTGTCACTGTAAAGTTGAGGGACTCCCCGCTACTTATATACTGTATTCTTTGGATGGAAGTAAAAATCCGATACCTAATCCTCTTTAGCTCATGAGTATTGTCATTTTAAAGTGTCCACAAACCAATATTTTTATAAAAACATTTAAAATTAGTTCCTTTAATATCCCCAAGTCACCAGTCCCGTGGAAGGACAGTTAATTTGCATTGTGCTGTTATTGGGCAAATTTTGGCTTCTTCAGTTTCGAAGCAGATTCAAAGCTAAATGAAAAAGCCAGTAGACTAAAAAAAATTTTATTTTGGTCAGGCAGATTCAGGAATCATAATTGTTGCCTGATTAACGTTAGGATAATTATCGGTACCTGAGTCATGTTTATTTGTTGTTTTGTATGAGCACTGACTGGACTGTGTTCCAATTCTACTTTTGAACCAAGTTTAATATGATAAGGTTGTACAACGGAGAATTGCTTTATACTGCAAAAGGGCTGCAGGGCCATCATTTTAATGATAACGATACAGTGGATGTTAATGTTTAAGTATATTAAGTTATTTGTAGAACAAGTTACTTGCGCATCGTCAGCGAAGACAAACTGCAAACGGTTAACAAAAGCCGAAAGTTAAGCCTTAGTATTTGTGTTTGGTACACCATCTACTGGTGTTACACAAAATTACAACCTCAGAGATTACAAATACACTTGCCTCCGGACTGTTTTTCAAATTCTACAAAATCGTGGAAAAGGTGTTTTGTTCCGTTTTTTCCAAAAATTGCACCAAGATAAAGCAGAACTTTAGTTGATGCGAATGTGTTGTTTAGGCGTTAGCAGTACTATCCTCACTTTGCGTTCATTGGACAGTAGCGCAACCCCAAGAAAAGGATGGTTGGTGGGTTTTATGTTTGCGCTGCAAGGAGGAAGCTGTAATACCAGGTTGGGTTGTGGTGACTAATTTGCAAGTCCTGGCCGAGTCGCCGGGTAGCTAGTGTACCTATGCCTATGACAGCTCCCGAAGCAAACCACCAACTCCTTGTTTTCTGAAGCTTTTGAGGGCGCGAAAGTCCTGTCGGTTTTACCCAGAAGGCCACGCGCCTATGCGAGACAATTTGCATATGCGGCTCCTCTTAGGGGCTGGGCCAGCAGGGGGCGGGGCTGCGGCATGTGTTTCTACATACTGTGGCTGGCCCCGGGGATGTGGCCAGGCTGTGGCTGCTTTTTGTTTCGTTTCTCATTTCTGATCATTTCCTATTAAAACTGCAAACAGCTCCTTAAGCAGCCCTCCTCTTGATAACCAGTTTAATTTTGCCAGTCGGCGTATGCTCTGTGGGCTCTGGGACAGCACCAAAGGCAGAAATGGGGTGTCCTGGGAGCTGCTGGGCGAGAGCCCTGGGCTCCAGGCTGGCTGCTAATGGGGTCCCGGTGTTTCCCGTTGCAGGTGGTTCTTCTGGGCATGGACATCCTGTCCGCGCTGGTCACCCGGCTGCAGGATCGGTTCAAGGCGCAGATCGGCACAGGTGAGCTGTGGGCAAGAGTGGAGCGGGCCTCAGACTCTCTAACCTCCAGATCCCAGCCCTTGCCCAGTCTCCCCAAATCCTCCAGTTACCTGTACTCAACCTTCCCAGCCATCACCTTGTCGTCGTCCGTTTCCCCGCCCCCTTAAACTTCCCCTCCAGTCCTCTCAGACTCCCGGCTACCACCCCAGCCTCTCGCTCGTCTACCCCTGCGGGGGCTGCCCCGCTGCCTTCCTTCCCTCCTGAGCTCCCCCCAGATCTACTGGCCTCACTGCATCTGCTGGCATCTCCCTCACCCCTTCATACTTTTTTGCTGCCTTCTTCCTACCTTCATGTTCTAATACGAAGTATTACTGCTAATTCTTTTATTTTTTCATACAAATTAGCTATCACACTTTAGTGTCAACCAAGTCGTTTGTCCCCACCCTTCCCTTTTGAGAGGCATTGTTTCCTTCTTTGACAAGTCCTGCATAGCCCATGCAGCTTCATTTTTTCCCAGATGATTATTGGTATTGTCTTCACTTTGATAGTATACGATGGTCACTCTTGTTTTGAAGGGAAAACAATGTCAATAAAATGAAATAAAAATAACCACAGGTTTCATAGATTTAGAGATGATTTAGTCATCTAAATTCCTGACCTCTGGGATTTCATAATGACAACATAAACACCAAGCAGCTCTGTTTGTGCAAGTGTTTTCATATAGAATTTCTCTATTTTGGTTGGTACATGTGTATTTTCTGTTAACTTTCTCCTCAATGTGCCCCTTTAGATAAGGTCAAGAACTTTTTTGTCATTCTGGTACTAACTGTCCGTCTACAAATAAAAAGCCACCTAACTTTGAGAAATTTGACATTTTAATAGCATTCCATTTTCCTCCTAAATTAGCTGACTTGGTCAGGAATACCTCTTGTAAAAAAAAGTAAGCTGCCCTCTGGTATGCAAGTACCCTTGGCGCACTGGCCAGTGGCCCACACTCAAGTGTGTGGAGAAGGGGTGGAGAGCTGGACTCTGTCTGATGTGCATGTGGGTATGCTATGTAAAATTAAAAACACAGTGTAGATGAAAGACAGATTGAGTCATAAACGCCTGCTGCTTCTACCTGCAGGCAAATATTCTGGAGCCCCCCTCTCTTACCTATATTTCCTTTTGTGTTGATTCTTTCCCGCCAATCTTCCATTGGCGTCCATTTTAATAATATTTCACCAGCATAAAAATACGTTGGGAGCTGGCTGGAGGAAGGTGCGGTAAGGAGGAAGAAGAATAGCATGCCCATGCAAAAAGGATTTTGCAGATTCTTTAAGTGGCTCCCATGGATTTAACAAGGAAACTGGAACTGTAGGGATTGGTAGTTTTAGAAGATGGATGCACATCCTTTAGGCCAGGACTTTCCAGTTAATTGACATGTCCACAGTTGGTGACCACACACTCCCCAAATCGGTGTTCATTTGATCACTTTTCATTTTGATTTCCAGTGCTGCCAAGTTTAATAGACAGACTGGGAGATGCTAAAGACTCTGTCAGGGAGCAAGACCAGACTCTGCTGCTAAAGATCATGGATCAAGCTGCTAACCCCCAGGTAGGGCGAGGGTTGGGGGGTGTTGTGTGGCCCCTGGTGTGCATGTGCCCCTTTAACACCAGTGGTTTACTCCATGTGAAAAGACTTCATTTCTTCTAAGCTGATGTATTTCCGATGAAAACGTTCATAGCTGTTAATCTACACCCTGTCCCCCATGATATTTAAATAAATAATAAATAGAAAAGGGTATACTTTGAATAAATAAGACTTAACGTGGGTATGGAGTCCTTGGTTTAATCCATTAGACTCCTGAGCTCATTTATGTCACCGATTCTCTGTTTCTCTGAAAAGAACAGTTGTGGTGTCTGGGGAGCCAGGAGGCCTGGCTGGAGCCTTCGTCCCCGTGTGCTAGTAAGCTGGGGCTGCTGAGACAGATGGATAGAGGGACACAGCCCTGCCTTCCAGGGTCCAGCTGTCCATTGTAGGGGGAGTGAGGGGATGTTCTCAGCAAAAACCTCAAGGAAGGTAAAACCTAGACTGGCCTTAAGAGGTGAGCAGGTGTTTTGACTTGTGGAGGGGAGGGGGACAGCTGTTCTGGGCTGGAAGAGCGATAGGAGTATGTGACCTTTGGCAAGTCACCCACCCTCTTTTGACCTCACTATCCTCACCCATAAAGTGGGGACAGCCATACCTCTTTTAGGGTCATTGGGAGAATTAAATGCAGATACATATAGGAATGTGTTTTGAGAAAATTGAACTTGATATACAAATAGAAGTCCCCGTTTTTTAATCTACGCTTGAGATGACTACATGGGCTGGTAGCGGCTGGGACTGATTTGACACCACCTGTTGAGAAGTCCCTCTTCTATTGGCCCCACATTAATCAACAAAAGGCTACAGAAGTCTCCTCCTCTTCTCTTTTCACCTGCCCTTTGTTGTCTGCAGTACGTGTGGGACCGGATGCTGGGAGGCTTCAAGCACAAGAATTTCCGGACTCGGGAAGGCACGTGTGTCTGCCTTGTAGCTACACTCAATGCGTAAGTCTGGGCAGGGCCTGAGGATTTCCTTGGTTGAGCTTTTTTATTTTTAGTTTTTATTTTTAAATAACTATAGATTTCAGGAAGCTGCAGATAAATGTATTGGGAGGTGCTATGCAACCCATCCCCTCCCCCAGTGTCAACATCCTGCATGGTTGTAATATAATGACAATACCAGGAAATCGATATTGGTAACAATCCACAGAGCTTATTCAGATTCCTCTAGTCACACACACACACACACACACACACACACACACACACACACACACACGTGTGTGTGTGTGCGCGCGCGCGCGCGTGCAGTCCTGTCATGTGTGTAGCTCCATGTAACTACCATTGTCAAGGTACAGAGCTGTGCATCATCCCAGGCTCCCTCATGCTGCCTTGCCCCTTTTAGCCGGTTCCTAACCTCTGGCAGCCCTAATCTGTTCTCTCTCGACGATTTTCTTATTTCAGGAATGTTACATAAGTGGCGTCATACAGAATGTAACCCTTTGAGATTGTTTTTTTTCATTCCACATACTTCCCTTGAGGTTGTATATATGTTGTTGCCTAAACAGTTCATCTCTTCTTATTGCTGATTGGAATTCCATGGCATAGACATATCACAGTTTGTTTAACCGTTCACCTGTTGAAGGACATTGAATAATATCCAGTTTTTGGCTATTACAAAGAAAGCTGTTATGAACACATGTATAAATTTTTGTATCAACATCAGCTTTCATTTCTGTTGGGTCAGTGCTCAAGAGTGCAGTTGCTATTCATTTGGTAAGTTCATGTTTAGTTTTAAAAGAAACTGCTAAACTATTTTCCCGAGTTGTCTGTACCATTTTACATTCCCATCAGCAATGTATGAATGATTCAGTTTCTTCATGTCCATGCTAGGATTGAATGTTATCACTTTTTTATTTTACTCATTTTGATATGTGTGTACTGATAGCTCATGGTTGTTTTAATTTGTATTTCCTTAATGACCATTGATGTTGAGCATTTTTCATGTGCTTATTTGTAGGAGAGGCTTTTTTAAAATGAAAATTACAGATCACTTTTTCTGATTATGAAAGTGATACTGTATATGTTCTAGAAAATTTAAAATAAAGAAGAAAATTATTACCTATAATTCTAACCCCTTCAGATAATCACTGTTAACTGTGGTACATTTTATTCCAACCTGTAAAGTTACATTATTTTAAGCAACAAATTGGGATTATAATGTTTATATCACCATGTAAATTTTTCCCCTTTGAATATGTTAGCCTTTTCAGTGCCATTAAATTTGGCCATATGTGTCCAAGCTTTTAAACAATGTTTCTAGCCTTTGATCACAGTTTATTTCTAAGAATTTATCTTTAGGAAGCAGTCAGATTACCAGAGAAAGCTGTGTTCCCAAAGGATATTTGGGACATCGTTCCTGATAGTGAAAAGTTGTAAATGACTTAAATGTTCTCTAGCAGGGCAGTGTTTAGTTGGCATTGTCTGCAGCCATTTTATCAGTCTTTTCATTCAGCAGTTATCAACTGAATGCCACTTGTAGCAGAGAGCTGTACACAGATGGAGAATTAAGTGAGGACCTTTAAGGGGCTTCCATTGTAGTTGAGTATACTGAGTTGGGCAGAACAGGAACCATTACATGACAGAATGTAATGCATAGATGGCCATACGTGAGGCAGGCAAGACTGGGAAAGGCTGGCTGAGGCTGTGGCATGGCCTTACAGGTTTGGGGCCAGGTTGGGGAGAGCCCTGAGTGCCAGGGAGAAGACACCTCAGGGAGAAGCACTAATGGTTTTGAACTCTGTGCAAAGGGGCCGCCACGGTATATTTATTTTGGAACCAGATGGGAAAGACATGGGAAAGATGGGAAGGAGAGAGCCTGGGAGTGAGATGGCGATAGGGCCCTGGGGGTGGAGAGGACGGCGTGAATGTGGGCAGGGTGGCTTCCTTGTTTTTGTTTCACCAACAATAAAACACTGCTTTTGTTTCTAGCTCTGGGGCGCACACTTTAACACTCAGCAAGATTGTGCCACATATATGTAATTTACTTGGAGACCCAAACAGCCAGGTGAGTGTATTTAATGAGAAAGTACAATAATTGGTTATAGGCAATTAAGATGCATTTTGATGTTCTGTGTATGCTTGATAGGTAGGTGGGATTTTATTCATCTTTATAGAACTCTGATTATTATTTAAGATAAATAGCATTAATGCTCATTAGCATTTATAAGATATCATTGGTAAATGTAGCCACTCTGCTGTCTACATGGTGCTGAGACCTCATTAGCCTATGAAATGATGTCATCCAGACCATCCTCCACGATAATATCAGTCTGATCACCATCTCTGCAGCCAAAAGAGTGTAGGCATAGGGGAGAGTGGTCAGTGCTGATTGAAGTCAGTAATTGCCTCAGGGGAGGGGAGATTGATTGGAAAGGATCAGAGGGAATTTTTCTGAGGCATTGGAAATATTCTGTATTTTGCTTTGGATGGTGGCCATACTGGTGTATACACCTGTGGAAACTCCTTCAACCCTTAAGAACTGTGGATGTTATTTTATGTAAATTTTACCTAAATTAAAAAAAGAAAAAAATGAAAACAAAACACTGCTTCCTCGGCTACAGAATAGGAGAGGAGGTGGTATTCACGAAGCTTTCCTTCCACGTCTGGGCTCGGGAAGTGCCAGTTCTCTCAGTAGTTCAGTTCTGTTTAGCACAGAGTCATTTGTATTATGTTGGCTCATACGGATAGATAAGAAAAACACTTCAGGAGATAAAGACAGGAACAAGAATTTACCAAAGAAATATATATATATAGTAATACAAACAGGCCTCTCATTGTAAATCTTGACTGACGACGGTTAAAGTGCCCTCCAAAGGGGCTGTGTCATGCCCTGTCCTGCTTTAACCAGCATCTACGTCCTTCTCCAAGGACACCTGCCAGTGGTTGTCCTTTCTTCTTCATCTTCGCCCTTAATCCCAGTTGCAGTCTCTCTGCAGTCTCTCACCTTCTCTCTGCTGCTCTGTTTTGCTGCTTTTGTTTCCCAAACCTCTCCTCCTGCTCACTGCCTGCCTGTCTGTTTTCTTGGTCTCACTTGATTGCACCTACTTCTTTCTACTTATTCTCGTATCCAGCCCTCATTGAAGACATATCACATTAAAAATATCATTTCTGGATATTTTTATTTACTGAATCATACTGTATATTCAACATTAATTTAAAAGTAAACTATTTAAAAAAGATTCTAAATTACCAAATGAATTATTTTGCCCCCATTTTTGTTTATTATGGAAAAAGGCGTTTATAGAGGCCCCCACTCCAAGGATATCGCTGCTGTCAGTATCCTTTTGTGGAGCAGAAAAGCAGGCCTGGCTAGTTGGAGTTATTTGTCCCTAATGCATTTGCTTACTTTGGCCACACAGCTGATGGGCCTGTGGGAGACCGAGCATTGGGGGTGAAATGAGGTGGTGCTCTGTGGGGCACCTGTCCGCAATTTGTAGGAGACTGGCGCAGCCAGAGTATTCCGACTGAGTGCTCTGAAGATAATCCACATGCTCAGATCTGCTTCGGAAGTGCACGCGCATGTGTGTATGCACACGCAGACACGCTCAGTCTGCGCATCCCACCCCCTCCTGCCAGAAGACTTTCTTGCCTGCTTCTCTGATACAAATCAGTTCATCATCCCTCCTCCTGGGTGCACAAGTATGTTGCATGTGCTCTTGACTTTATTTTAGTTGTTTCACCAGTTCTTTCCACTTGTCTCTGACCCTTGAGAGTCAGGACTATAATTACCCCGTGTTATTGTCCCAGGACTTCCTTCCAGCAGTTTTAGGATTGAATAGACCCCGTAGCTGTTTGAATGACTGTCCCCTCATAGCTGGTTATGTCTCAGACTAGAGGACAGTTGTGCCTCTCCACTGCTGTCACTGCAACCCGGTGCCTGACACTGCAGTCAGCCTTCAGCTCAGCGTGGAGAGCTCGCCCATGGCTCTTCAGGTGGCCGCTGACATCAGCTGTGAGCCCTGTGGACGCTCTTGCCGTAGAGGATGTGAGTCTGAGTGCAGAGTGACTAAGAGCTGGGGAAGCCCCTCAGAAGCTTCTCCGAGCAGCCCACAGATATATACATGAACGTGTGGTTAGGATGCTTTTGGCTGCAAGGACTTGAAAGCCCAACTCAGAATTGCTAGAGCAGTGGGGAATTTGCATCTGTCGTCCCGCGTAAAGAGGAAGGGGGCTCCAGCATAGTGATTTCCCCAGAGATTTTAGAGTCTGGGCCTCTCAGCCCCGGGGCTCTGTCCTCTGCAGCGCCCCTCAGGGCACAGCACAGGGACAGCCCGGGCCTGGTAAGTGAAAGCCTGCTGCTTCCTGTGTCCCTGCCCTGTTTTCAACTCTTCCTTATTGAAAGGTTCCAGCTTACATAGAAGTAGTGAAAATGACAAAGTGCACCTCCGCGTATCCACCATCGAGCTGCAACAACTCAGACGACAAGGCCAGTTTGGGTTCATCTGTCTCCCCTCCTCCATCTCATTATTTTGAAACAAATCTTACACATCATTTCGTTTAATTCTTAAATACTCTAAATGATAAGGACTTTTTGTCCTTTAAAATCATAACTTTAATACTTACTATTAACCCTCCTCTCCATCAAGAAAGTTATTCTCTCATATCATCAAATACCCAGTCAGTGTTCACTTTTTCCTAAGTGTCTCATGTTTTTCGGTTTTCTGCGTTTCTCTTTCTAAGAGTGAAGAAACGTTTTCCCAAAACTTTCCTGCAGATTTCTCCTCCTGTTTCATTCTCGAGAATGACATCCCAGGGCCCTGTTTACCCAGTGGCTGGGAAGGGAGTAGGATCATGTGATGGCCGTCCACTAGGGGCCTTTACCTCTGAGCTGAGAACAGGGTTCCCTTCCGTGAGGTGGGGATTGCAGAACAAGGCCCATGCTTGTTGACGGAGGACGGAGCATGGCTGTAGCCAGGGCAGCTCTCACGGTCTGAGATATACACAACAGGAAGTCCTTTTTCTAAATAAGGCATTTGACACACATCTTCAAAGCCTAGAGACATCTTACAGCATCTGAGGACAGTTGATCTCAGCGTTCTTTGCAGCTGGACCTGGACTGGGCTGTGCTGACAGCGCTGAGTAGGGAGAATGAAAGCCTGTGTCCAGGGTGGATCCGATGCCTGGGAAGTAGGAGGCAGGGTAGTAGACCCCAGTCTGCGGTTGGATGAGGCCCCCTGTGTCTGGGCAGATCTGGTAGCAACTTGTTCTTGGGGACAGGCTGGCTATGGGGCTGTGCTGCTGTTTTCAGAGGACAGGGTAGGTTTGGCTCCCTGTCCATTTATAGGCACCCACCCTTCCCCTGAAGGTGAAGCCCTCCCTGAGTTTTAGGCTTTGTAGGGAGCCCTTATTTTGACACAGTGAATGCAGTGTGCTGAAGTGAGAAGGTTGTGAGACTGCGTTCAGAAAGATGGCAGGTAGCTCCCTGCTCTGCCATTTGTGTGCTGTGGGCCCTGGCAGGTGGCTGGCCTCTCAGCCTCCATGGTCTCCTCTGTGCCATAGTCTACAATGGCCCTAAGAGGAAGGTCACAGAGGTGAAGACCTCAGATTTGCTAAAGCATTCAGCTCGGACCCAGCAGGTAGAGCTTAACATGTGGGGCCGTTGTCTTTTACAGCCCTAATGGCCTGAAATGTTGGGGTTCCTTTTGTGGTGAGCTTGAGGGTAGGCAGAGGGGACCCGTGGGGTTGTGTGTAGACGTGGGGACTCCACGCTGTCCCTGCAGCCTGCACTGAGCTGCTTGTTCCGACACTCCCCGCTTAGTCTGAGTGGAGCCCTTTGTAGTACCAAGAAAACCTGTTGTCCTGTGTTTCTTGACTCAAGCTGGGTTTAGACTCACAGATGCTATCTGACCCTGTAGCTTTCTAAGTCTGAGGAATGATTATTTCAAGGTTACGAATGTTGATTTAAAAGATGTAGATAATACTAGTCCCACAAGTCCCACAATCGAGTGCTTCATATACACAGCCTGTGGGTCCCAAACGACTGGCCCAAAAGCTCATTTCAGCCCACAGATTGGTGTGTCTGCAGAATGTTTTTATTTTACATTTAGAATGTCAGTGATTTTACTTGGCAGATTTGCATCTCTGACTTCCCTCAAAAGATGAGAAGATGTGGCAGAGCTGTACCTCCATTCCCCCATGGCTGAGTGACAGTGGTGGCCTGTTTACCTGAGCCTCCGTATTTTCTCTTCTGTCTCAGCCAGCAGGGTCCCATGCCAGGGCCGCTTGTCACTGTCCACCCACCCTGCTCCACCCACTGCGTTCCTTGTCTGAGCTGTGTAGGCACTTCAGTTGGGCACATAGTAGGCACTCAAACATTTGTTGAATGAATCCATTATTTCTTTTAGTCCTTAAAACATCCGTCAACTTATGGAGGAGGAAACTGCCTAAAAAAATTTAAGTATTTTGTCCAAGGTTACACAGTTCCTAAAATGGCCTAGTAGATACTCAGGTCTCCTTGGACACTAAGGCTAGTAGTTTTCCCACCAAATCTCTTAAACTCCATACTGCCCAGACTTTCTCAGTCATGGGCAGGCTGTTGATTGCTCTTTAAGGTAATCACCCAGTGTGATTGGCTGTGAGCAGATATCATCACTAGAAATTAAGCAAAGGTGATGCACTTATTACTGATATGCAAACCACAGTGGCACTACTTTTGTAATACATGCATGTTTCCATATAAAAATGTTTTCTAACATCAGAAATTATTTATTTTCCAAAACAAACTGATAATCTGTATTAGTCACCTTGGGCTGCCATCATATAATACCATAGACTGAGTGGTTTAAATAAAAAAACTTATTTCTCTCAGTTCTGGAGGCTGGAAGCCTGGATCATGGGGCCAGCATGTCAGTCAGGCCCTGGTTCTGCCGAGGGTGCTCTTCCCGGCTGACAGACCGCTGCCATCTCGCTGAGTGGTCACAGGACCTCTTTGTGTGTGTGTGTGGGGAGAATGGAGCGAGCTCTCTGATGTCTTTTCCTATGAAGACTACAATTCTGTTGTATCAGAGTCCCACTCTTAGGGCCTCATTTAACCTTAATTACCTTTGTATGTATGGGCCCTATCTCTGAATCTAGTCACACTGGGGGTTAGGGCTTCAACATATGAAGTATAGGGGGATACAGTTCAGTCCATAGCATAAGGTTTTGGGTCAGAAGATAATACGGCCTAGGATTTGCCATTTTCCTCCATAAGGGGGAAAAATATGTGTAAAATTATCTGTTCTATAACACTTTTAAATTAAAGGGTAGCTCACAGTATTCCGATTGTAAATTACTGTTTGTGCCCCTACTTGTTTCCTGTATCCTTTTTCTCTGTTACTTGGATTTCATTGCTTAAGCCCAAATCTAAAATGTTGTTCCCTTACCATTGCCCACCGAATTAAAAACATATGTCTCCCTCTCTACACCTTCAATAAGCTGGCCTTGGTTACATTGTTTATTAAAGAAAGTTTTTCCTCCCACCTTTATATTTGCAAATTATAAACCTATGTAAAAATTGAAAGAGTACTATAGTGAACGAACACCCATATTTGCCAGTTAACATTTTGTCACATTTGTTTTACATCTCTATATGTGTACACACTCACACACTTGCACAGAAATACGCTTTTGTTCCTGAACCATTTAAAAGAATCTAACAGACGATATTTTTGCTCCTAGATGCTTCAGTGTGTATCTCCTCATAACAAGGATATTTTCTTACATAACCACAAGTCATTTTCACAGCTCAAGAAATTTAACATTGATACAGTGATAATGTTTGATACACAGTCCATATTCAAATTTCTCCTTTTGTTTGTTTGTTTTTTAAATCCATTCTGTCTCTTGAGCCTTATTTGTTGCTGCTTGCTTAGATCGTTTTGTGTTTGGCCAGGCTGCTTACTTGCTCCTCCTGAGGCATATGTCTTTCATGGCTGCTTCTGCACCTTTTCACAGGCTGTGCCTCGTTTGGAACTTGTCTCATTCCATCTTTTCCTGATAACATGTGGTCCTTCTAAGCCCATTTTAAATGGTTCCTTCCTCTTCTGTAAAACATTTCTTGGTTATCTTGTGGAGTGCTTGTTCCCGCCCCTAAACTGTACGAGCTCCTTGTGTCCTTGTGTGACGTTTATTGCATCCTGTCCCGTGTTAAATGTAGAATTTGTGGAATTCTTCCCATTTCCTTTTTAGGGCTGTGAGGTTTTTTTTTGTGTGTTTTTTTTTAAATGAGCTTGAATACAAGGCTCTGTGTAGCTGGTACCATCCATTTTTTTGGTTGCTCTCTAAGTGTTAGTTTGACCTAAATCCAGAATACTTTACGTGGTTTATTTTTAGTACAGTTCATTTATTTGTAGTGTTTTCTAATTTGGAAAGATGCCCTGAAAATTCTAGTGTCCTGACATCACCTTAAAGAATGAAAAAAAAAAAAACAAAACTAAGGGCTATGGACTTGAACATGTGTATAGCAATGGGACCTAAATTTTTTCTACCCTATGGAATTGTACCCATAGAGTCAAAACCGATAGATATGGCTTTATGTAGTCAATTGTCTAGAAGGGATTGTATTCACAGTTACATTGGTAAGTTGGTGATAACTTGGGGTGGGATATAGCCTGTTGTGTCCCAGCAGGAAGTCATGTGGAATGACACAGAGCAGCTGTAAGATCTCTTCTCTTATATCCAGGTCCGAGACGCAGCAATAAACAGCTTAGTGGAAATTTACAGACATGTAGGAGAACGTGTGAGGGCAGATCTCAGTAAAAAAGGATTGCCACAGTCCCGGTGAGTTCAGACTTTTTTACTTTCTTCTGCTCTTTCCACCCTCCTCTTTTTCAGTTAACATCTTGGTTTGTACTACTTATTTTGTTGTGGTAATTTTTTTCAAAGTATGTGGTTAGTGGATTGGTGGTTGGAGATCTTTCCAGATCATATGTGAGGGGTCCTGTCCCATTCCACTTCCTCAGAAGTGAGACTCTCTCACCCAGACATTTGCCAGGTCTCATGCCACGTGCTGATTTTAGAAGCATATTTAAAATCTATTGGTGTTGAAAAATTCAGCATTCTTTTGCTTCATATGGTTCTATATCTCGTATACACACAGCACCTAATATAGTAGGTGCTTAGAATATATTTGTTTGAATGAATGAAGCCCTTCTCAAATGAGTTTGGATAGAAATATATAAGTAATTCTGGAAAACATCTTTGAAATGGTAGTTCTTTGTTTGGTAATGTCAGTCTCACTGTGTAGAAGCCCACACAAGGGGATTAGCATCTCATCATATCCAAGATAACTTAAGTACACAGATGTCTGTGTTGTAGTTAGAATTTAAAAAATAATGAACAATTAGATATCTGTAATTTGAGTCATGATGCAGAAACCTTACACCAAATGGATTCTAAACCCTTTGCCCCACCCACCCCATTCTTTTAAGGGGAGAAAGCAGTGTGAAAATCCTGGGAAGTTAGGCATGGACTGGACTCACAGAGCAGCTTGTCAGAGCCTGTCAATTGTGGCCAGGGAAACAGCAGAGGCCCAAAGACATGAAGTGACTTGAGAGATGACACGAGTTAAGAGTCAGAGCTAAGATGGAAGCCCTGTTCTCTGACTCACCTTTTGATTTGATTTCATTTCCCAAAAGAGTTTACGGAGCATCTAGATATGGGCTGGAATATTGAAATATGCAGGAGTCATGTGTTTTGATGTCCCTCAGTTGGATATGACAGAAGTGGGCCTCTCACCCTAAGGTAGGGATTCCATGAGCAGTTGAGTGGAGAGCTATCCATATTTGTTGTTGAGAGTGATATCTGACCCCCGATGCTGTCACCACGAGTCCTGTGTTGTGTTCAAGATAACGAGGGGCAATTGAACTACTTTTCAAGGGTTTTACAAAAGGTAATCTCTGAGAATAGAATTTATTTTTTATTCCTGTGTCTTATCAGTCTCAGCCTTCTGGTCTTTAGGAGAGAAACTTGAAGACAAAACTACCAAATAATCTGTTGGGAATATTGGAGGACACAGGTGAACAGGGAGAGCAGGGGCTGGAAGGAGAGGCCTGTTTGATAATGATGTCACAATCATTGTTGGGAAAACAGGCCTCCAGCATTGAAACTCGTTCTGCTCTGAGGATGGCCTCACGGGACCGTGCAGTTCATGGTGGCCCTTGGCCATGAATGGTGCCGTCTTACGTAGTGGGGTTGCTGTGTCATGTTTGAGGGTTGCCATAGTGAGCTAATAGATCTGGGGAAATGACATGGTGTTCTTTGTTCATTTCACAGTTGCAAAAAGAGACTTGTACATTCACCAGCATCATTTTGGAGGAGCTGGAATTATGTGTATGATGTTGGTGAGGCATACTTAGCAACTAAATAAAATGTAAACAGACCTCCTGCAGCAGTGTGGTTTGCTTTCGTAGACATCTGCTTTCAGCATGCCGTGACATTCACTGTCCTCCTATTGGATATTCCAGAAAAAACTTTCATTCATTGTGGTATATTTTAGTTTTCAAAGCTATGGAGAAAAGACAGGTCACTGGTGTTATTTTCTGGTAGCATTATTTGGGAACCAATCTCCTGATACAACAGCTGCTATAAATGTGAAGATAATTTCATTTATAGATAGAGGTGATGCATGTCAACTGATGCATTGTCACTATTTGGTAAACAGTTTTGAATAGCTCTCATAATGTTTGTTTTGCTATTTCAACCTATTTCAAAATGTATAAACATTCACTAGACATTTATTTATTTATTTATTCATTCATTCATTTATTTATTATTAGCCTTTAATGTTTACAATCAACAAGTATTCTGGCCTGGGGAAATGTTAAAACCTATTTAGTCTCTGGGATGGGATTATCCAAGAGTTAGGTCCAGAATGGATTGGGGAATGTTGGGAAGTCACAGGTTTTAAGTAGTTATCTAAAGCCAGGGTGGGTGAGAGAGATTCTGTGATTCAGTCTAGGGGCAATCTTTAGGATTCAGAAACTGATTAGAAGAGTAATCAAAGCCAGGGGTTAAGGAACCAGGGAAGAGGAACTTAAAATTTCTATAGGAAAGAAAACTTAAGTTGTCCAGTGGTGGGGGTGAGGGGGTGCTACTCGCTTGGCCCATATCACTTACTTTTCAGGCAGAAAACTTTTTCGTAATATCAGTAGCCTACCCAATAGTCTAACAAACTTTGTCATATTTAAAAAAGAGAGAAAACTTAACTAATTTTGTACCAGCTTACTTTTGATATTTAAATTTACTTAATTAGTCACATTCAGCTTAACCATATATAAAATTATCTCAAGATTTGTCGTCACCAAGGGGCTGAGGGGGGGCTTTCAGCAGTGAGATGCTCAGGGAAAAGAAAGCACGCAGAGCTGACATGAAGAGGAACCAGCCTCACTAGACATTATTAATTAATGATTGTATTATTAGGGAGAAAACGGAAGCTTTGCTATTTTTAATTTAGGTGCTAAAGCTTTGGTGTTCTGGAGAGGGCCCAGAGCGAAAGCAGGATGGAGATGTGCTCTGCGATAGCTCCTCTCATTTTTAAATTTCATTTTCTGTCAGAATTGTTTGTATGGCGAGAGTTGACTAGGTTTAGGTTTATAAGATACATTGGAAAAAGACAATTCTTTACCCCTTCTGTTATCCTCAGAGGCAAACACTGTCAACTAGTTTTATTGATTCTTTTTTTTTTAAGACTTTTTTAGGGAATTGGGGGAGGGGAACAGCGTTGGGGAATCAGGGAAGGGGAACAGACAAGTTGCTGTCCTTTTGTTCTTCAGTCTAGCTGTGGAGGACGTTGCTTCACTGGCCCATGTTGGTATT